GATTAGTGGCAGCTCGCATATTCAGAGCTTCCTCCTCTGGATGGGAGCTGCCCCTCAGCTCAGACAGGCTGAGCCCCATGGCCCATCCGTGTTTAACTTCTGCTTTCTGTGGCAACCCAATACTTCTACCTCCCCTGGAGTCAGGCAGGTTTCTTTTCTCGGGCTTTGAAGACTATCCAAGGAATATTGAGTTGAAATGTGAAACCAGTGCTAATCCCTGTGTGAGAAGGGACAAGCCATTATCTCCTCCCTCCCTACCTTAGCTTTCTTAAGTAAAATGGGGGGCAGTCATGTCTCTTCATATTTTGGGAATGTTGTGGGGATGCAATGAGCAGGTGTGCACAGAAGCCCATTGAGAGAGATCAGCAAAAACACAGGGACACGTCTTGCTGTTTTTGTTGGGTGGTAGGAGAGGCTGTGTGCTTTATTTGGAAAAGAGTGACCTTTGGAACAGACAAACAAGAACAAGTTCTGGTTTAACAACATACCTGCTCTGTGGTTTTTGATAAATTGCAAACCTTTCTGTGAACCTCCAGAGTAAAATGGTGTTAATGATGCTTGGAAGATTGTTGCCAGAATAAGTAACAGCGATAAAGTTCCTACCAAGTAAGAACCTGGCACACAGTAGGTGTCCTGTACTATTATTAGAGACGTTGTATGTCTTAACCACAGCCACAAAGGTGCTGTGTACTTATTCTAAGTACACTCTCTCTCACTCCAGGGAGCCAAGTTTCTCTGTTCTGCCTGCAAGGTGTCAGGGCCCACACTCTGGATTCTTGGGAAATAGAGTACTCTGCCTCCTGATTCTCCCTAAGGAACTGACCAACTCATTCGCTTACCCAGGAGTGTACTAATTTTAGTGCCGGAAATCCCACATGCTAGGAATCCCCTTAGTCACAAACTGGGATGCTTCTTGATAACCAGAGTTAGCCTCTGGCATTTCTAGTACCTAGCTAGGGAATATTACAATTTGTTTTAGGGGCTACAGATGTAGCTCAGTAGTAGTTAACATGCCTTAACATGCTCATAGGCCCCAGGTTCAATTCTTAGAACAGCCAACAACATCAATAAATCTGAATTGGAGATTGGGAAGATCCCAGGAATAGCTGTAAGAGCCATTTTAAGTCTTTTTAGACAAAGGCAGAGTCTAAGTAAATGAATGAAAATAGAAAATTAGCTCTGGCCTTAAAATTTATTATGTCACCGGTTGTGGTGGCACATGCCTTTAATCCCAGCACTTGGGAGGCAGAGGCAGGCAGATCTTTGTGAGTTTGAGGCCAGCCTGGTCTACATAGCGAGTTCCAGGACAGCTGCAGCTACAGGGAGACCCTGTGTCAAAAAGAACAACAACAACAAAAAAATTAAGTATGAGAAACAAAACCAATTTTTTTTTTTTGGCCTTTTTGAGACAGGGTCTTCCTGTAGCCCCCAGCTGTCCTGGAACTTGCTATGTAGACCAGGCTGGACTTGAACTCTGCCTGCCTCTGCCTCCCGAGTGCTGGGATTAAAGGCGTGCGCCACCATGCCTGGCTAGTAAAACCAATTATGAAGACTACAAATTGTATGATTCCATTTACACGAAGTGTTCAGAACAGGCAAAAATATAGACAGACAATTGGTTGCTTAGGGCAGAAAGTAGGGGAGGGCAAGTAGGAAACTCATAGTGTCTTTTGGGGGGTCATGAAGATGTTCTAAAATTGATTGTGGTAATGATTCTGTAACACTGTAAATATACTAAAAAAACCACCTAATTGTACATCAAGTGTATAATTGTACATTTGAGCCGTGAATTGATAAGTTATATCTCAATAAAGCTGTTACATTTAAAAATCCTCTTTTAAAATGTTTACATTTTTTATTTATTATTTATTTATTTATTCATCTATGTGTGTATGTATATATGGGTGCACCTTTACTATGATGTACATATATAGATCAGAGGATAATTTGAGGGAATTTTTTTTTCCATTTTACTATATGGGTTCTGGGGATCAAAGTCATGTCATTAGGCTTGGTAGTAAGTGCCTTTACCTGCTGAGTCATCTTACTTATTTATTATTGGAATTTTATGTGTATTGTCTGCATGTATAAGTGCACCTGTGTTGTGCAATGCCTGGAGAGGTCAGAAGATGGCATCAGATCCCCTGGAACTGGAATTACAGACTGTTGTTAGCCACCATGTGGGTACTGGAATTCAAACCCAGGTCCTTTGTAAGAGCAGTCAGTGCCCTTAATCGCTGAGCCATCTTTCCAGCCCCTAAAAATATATATTTTTTAATTTAAAAAATTAGTAGGATGAGATGGCACATGCCTATAATTCCAGCCCTTAGGAGGTAGGCAGGAAGATCTTCAGTTCAAGGTCAGCCTGGACTGTATAGTGAGACCCTGATTCAAAACAACAACAACAACAACAACAACAACAGGAATCAATGTCAGGTGGCTGGGGATGTAGCTCAGTGGGGAAAGGGCGCTCCAGGTAGAGGAACAGCTGGTGAGGGCTCAGAGATGTGACAGGTATTGGCTTGTTAGCCATCAGCTGTGTAGAGCAGTGTTTTGATTTGGGCCAGATTGTAGCAAGAACCCTGGACACAATCTGTGCTGGGGACTTTGTTCTCAGTAGTGGACTCTGACAGTCCACGGTAGAGATGGTATTTTATATTTGGGAAGCAGCAAGTCTTTCATGAGATCCCCTGTCAGTAGCCTGACTGCCACACAGAGCTAGAGACTCAGCGGCCCTCTCAGATGACTTGACCTGTGCCCTGATGTCTACTTTCTTCCCTTTCCTTTTTTCTCCTGTTTGTCTTTTCCTATCTCTCCTTCACTCTTTTCTCCTGCTTCCTTTCCCCTTGTCTCCTGAGACTTGCAAGTGCCTTGGGTATTCCTGTGAGGACCCCAAATTTTAGTAAGCTGTGCCACAGTCCTGGGCAATTCTGATATTGTTTGTTTTTGGTTTTTAAAATTATTTATTATTTATTTTAAAATTTTTGTTTATTATTTTTATTTTATGTGTATGCCTGTGTTTCCTGCATTTAGTGTCGTGCAATGCCAGCGGAGGTCAGAAGAAGCTGTTGGATCTCCTGGGACTGGAGTTATGGACAGTTGTTAGCTTCCATGTGGGTGCTGGGATTCAAACTCGAGTCTTCTGCAAGAACAACCAGTGTTCTTAACCGCTGAGCCATCTCTCCAGCCCTGTTATTATTTTTTTATGTGTATGAAGGTATTGCCTGCATGTATGTAAGTGCACCTGTGTTGTGCAATGCCGGAGGTCAGAAGAGAGTGTTGAATTCCTCTGGAACTGGAGTTAAGGATGGTTGTCAGCTGCCACGTGGGTGTTGAGAATTGAACCCGGCTCTCTGCAAGAGCAGTCAGTGCTCTTAGCAACTGAGCCATCTTTCCAGCCCTGTTTTTGTTTTTTGAGACAAGGTCTCCCTGTAGTCCCAGCTGGCCTGGAACTTGCTATGTAGACCAGTTTGGCCTGGATCTCAGAGAGATCTGCCTGCATCCTGAGTGCTGGGATTAAAGGGATGAGCTGCAATGCCAGGCTCTTTTTGGAGACAGGGTCTTGCTTTGTAGCTCAGACTGGTTTTATACTTGGGATCCTTCTGACCGAGTCTCCAGGGTGCTGACATCACAGGCTGTCTAGATCTGCCCAGCTGGTGTTGCTTTTCAACCCTCTAATGGTCTGGGCAGTGCAGTCCCACTAGAGCTGGGAAATGTACAGGATGGTAGGGTGTCCATCTTCCCCAGGGGAAGAAAGAACAGTAAGGCAAGGATAGACTTATGGAAAAGGCAGAAACACATCATGGGCTGCTCTGGGGCCCAGAAGGGGAGAGCACTTTAGAGAATGGGTGTGTTGGAAGGGATGGGGGAAGTACTCTAAAGGCCTTGAACTATTTCAAGAACAAGCACTGTTAATTCACAGCACTTTTCCTGAAAGCCTTCTAGGTGAAAAGTTCTGAGGTGTAGCCTTGTTCAAAGGGGAAAAGAAAAAAAAAAAGACAGCCCTCTCTTCACCCCAATATAACTAGTTAGAGCACTTGTCTAGAAAAAAAGGGAAAGGCAACAGGGATACCTAGTCTACTTGATTCATGAGCTGTTGGGAAGGCCACTGATTTTCAAGGAGTCTCAACGATTTATTGAGCACCAACGAGACAGGTCAAGTACAAGGACCTATGGCACAAAGTCACACAGTTCCCACTATCAAGTGGCCACAGGTCTTGTAAACACCCGTCTGTAGAGAGAGAGGTCATCAATAAATGGACGCAGCAGGCACAGCGCACAAAGTGCTCACACAGGATAGGCTGGAGAGCAGTTGAGCGAGGCTTAGGAGCAGAACAAAGCTAGGAACCATGCAGCAGCTCTGGGGCCCCCAGCCCTTACTTCCAACTCCAGAGTCTCAACCTTGAGATCCGCCAGGTGCTTTTAGTGTGCAGAAATATCACTTAGGAACGCTCATTAAAACCCGGTAAGTGAGGCCAACCCCAGTTTTATTGAATCAGAATGGCTAGATCCGCATTTCCAACACCCACCTAACCCTTTGGGGCAATTTTGAGGTAGGTGAGTTACTCCGTAGTCTAAGGAGTACTGCTTAATAGTGAGATAATTACCTGCTTCAGAGATAGGTCAGGCAAGAGATTCAAGAGCTAAAAGGACGTGTGCGAAAGAACCTGTAAACAAAAATCTACTTATTTGCAAATGACAGCAATCCAAGAGTCCAAATAATGGCTAAACAATACTAGTAAAAGAAGTGGTGAGCGCACTGTAACTGCGGCACAGCCGGATACCACAGCCTATCCTCACCATCGCAGTCGGAGCGACTGTCCCTTTAAGCGTGTGTCTCC